AGGAGCAGGAGGTGACAGCACAGGACACTGCAGAGCCGCCCACAGGTGCTGACACACTGTTCCTGTGAATGTGCACCAGAAATACCCGACTGTCACTCAAACAACAGATGGACAGCTGCAAGGAAAGGCCAGGAAAAGTCAAAACATGTTTCCCCCCTTTCATTTAAAGTTTGGGACAGAAAGTTCATCACTGCTTGTTCCCTCTGGGGGGAGAGCCCTCTCTTGAGGCTGCAGGCGGGCGAGCAGAGCAGCCCCAAACACACAAACACAGACCCCCAAACACACAAACAGCCTTCCTCCACAGCTCTGAGCAGCGCCTCCCTCCCCTCTGACACGCACATTTCACCGTGCTTGGGCTGAGGGAATGCCAAGCGGGGCACGGGCTGTGCCAGGGCTTCTCCCACACCAGCCCCACTGCGACCCACAGCCCACAGTGCAGGGGGCTGAGGGGAAAATGTGGGACAGAGGAACAAAGGGAGAACACTGACCATGGTCTGTGTGCCCTAGGCCAAGCCCTTTGGGAAGGGCATGACTCACGCTGAGGATTCCAGCCACAGGCAGCACACAGGGACAGGGTGGGCACTGCTGGCACTGCTGGGCATTGCTGGCACTGCTGGCCCTGATGGACACTGCTGGCACTGCTGGCCCTGCTGGCACTGCTGGGCATTGCTGGCACTGCTGGCACTGCTGGCCCTGATGGACACTGCTGGCACTGCTGGGCATTGCTGGCACTGCTGGCACTGCTGGCCCTGCTGGCCCTGCTGGCACTGCTGGCACTGCTGGGCACTGCTGGCACTGCTGGACACTGCTGGCACTGCTGGCACTGCTGGACACTGCTGGCACTGCTCGCCCTGCTGGCACTGCTGGCACTGCTGGACACTGCTGGCACTGCTGGGCATTGCTGGCACTGCTGGCACTGCTGGCACTGCTGGCACTGCTGGCCCTGATGGACACTGCTGGCACTGCTCGCCCTGCTGGCACTGCTGGCCCTGATGGACACTGCTGGCACTGCTGGCCCTGCTGGCACTGCTGGCACTGCTGGACACTGCTGGCACTGCTGGCCCTGCTGGCACTGCTGGCACTGCTGGCACTGCTGGCACACCCCATCCCAGCCATCCTGCAGCATTCCTCCAGCCCCACTGCCCCACCTCCGTGCCCTGAGCAGGCACCTGGGCATGCCAGGAGCGGGCACCTGAGCCCAGCCAGGGGCACTCTGTGGGGCTCGGGGAACCGGATCCGGGAGCAGGCGGCAGAGGCCACAAACCCCGCAGAAGCCCCCCTGGCACAGGGCTGCCCCTCATGCTGCCCCTCATGCCCGCCCTGGCTCCGGGCTGGCAGCCCCAGGGCTGTGCCCAGAGCCGGGGCTGAGCTGGGCTGCCTCCCCCACCAGCAATAACGAAATAAAGGAGGGCAGGCAGCCTGTCTCTCACGGGCTGGGATGCTGGCTGCTCCTGGCAGCACAAACTCGCTGCTTTGGAGATTCCTCAGCACTCCCAGCCGGAGAGCAGAGCCAGGCAGTGCCTGCGCTCCTCCCTGTCCACACCAGATTCCCAAACTCGCCGATAAATTAAAATGGCCCAGTAACACTGCCCAAACAAACACCTTCTGGGGATTAAACCGAGCCCAAAGTGCCAACGTGAGCCGTGACCTGCACCACCAGAGGTGCTCCACTCCCTGCTGCAGGGATGCAGGGACCCGTGTCTGACCCTGCGAGGTGTGGGGCTGTGCTGGGGTGCAGCAGAGCTCCTGTTTCCCCTTTTGGGGGACACAGTGTGACCCACAGAGAGGGCACAACGCAGAGCTGCTCGAGGAGAGGAGCTGGGCCCAGGCGAGGGGACGTGCCCGTTCCAGGCAGCGAGGACATTGTCACAGGGTGGCAGCAGGGCACGGGCACACCCGGCCAGCACTGCCCCAGCTGCTGCTCCCCACGGCCGGCCGGGGCCTGGGCACCCGGGACCGTGCCTGGAGCCTGCCCCCAGCCCAGGGTGCGTTTGTGTAACCCTGTGGCCAGCCTGGGCACCCACAGCACCCACCGCACCCAGCTGCGCCCTGTGGGAGCCGCTTGGATCCACAGCTCGGTGGGGACAGCTCAAACCGGGGCTAGAGGAGTGACCGAGGCCAGCCCGGGAGCACCGTGCGGGGAACAGAGGGTGGCAGGGGACAGACACAGGGCCGTGCTGCGGGCAGGAGCAGGGTGTGGGGAACAGAGTCTCATGGAGCTGCGGGCTTTGCACCTGGGGTGGGGTCAGGCTCCACTCCAGGGCAGGTCAGGCTCTGGGCTGCCCCTACTCGCCCTGGTCACCCTTCTCTTCCTACACAGCTGCTCACAAGAAAAATCCTAATGCTCGACTAATTAATTCATTATAACTAATGTATCCATCACACCCTGTTAAGGCCAGAGCTCCGGAGGGCTTTCACACGGCTCCCCGCGGTCCCTTGTTTGGGCGCAGAGCTCAAAGGCCCCCCAGTCCCCAGGGAGCCCCCGGAGCACCGGGAGCTTCCACACGGGGACACCCCGGGGCGCTCCGGGGCTGAAGGTGGAGCGGGACCCGCCCGGTGCGGGACCGGCCCGGAGCCTCCCGCACTCCCTGCAGCATTCCGCCGCCGCGAACGGGGGCCCCACCCGGGACCGCTCCCGCTGGGGGCTCGCAAACCCGGGAAACTGCGGGAACCCGGGCAGGGCCGGGGAGCGGGGCCGCGGTGCGGGCCCGGCCCGAGCATCGCTCCCGGTGCGGGCCCGGCCGAGCATCGCTCTCGGTGCGGGCCCGGCCCGAGCATCGCTCCCGCCGCGGGGCCCTCCCGGTGCTCCCCCTGCCCGCAACAGGTCACGGCCCCCGCCCCGCGCCCTCCCGCAACTTTCCGGGCCGGGAAAGTTTGAGCGCGGCCAGGGGAAAGTTCCGGGGGGGTTCCCGGAGGGGCGGCGGACCGGGACCCGGTGCCTCCCGCCGCCATCGCTCCCGGCGCGGCGGCGGCGCGGGGCAGGACGGCGGCGGCGGCGGCGCGGGGTCCCCGCGGCTGTGCCCCCGGGAAGCGGGGCCGCTGGGTGGGCTCCGGGGACACGGGGGGGTCCGGTGAGGACTCACCGGCGGCTCCAGGGGGCGGCGGCGGCGGCTCCGGGCCCGGCGCTGGGTGCGCAGGAAGGAAGAAGGAGGGAATGAGGCAGGGCTGACGTGAAGGGATGCAAAGCAGCTCCTCCTAACTCGCCCGCCCTTCATCTTCCTCCCCCTCCTCAACTTGCCCGAGCACGGCGAACCGCCCCCCCGCTGCAGCAGCGCCGTCCGCCGGAGCCGGGGCCGCCCCCGGTACCGGTACCGGTCCGGGGGGGTCGGAGGCGGGGGCAGCGGGCTGGGAGCGGTCCCTGTGCCCACAGTGACCCTGCATTGTGTCCCCTCCTGCAGCACGGCGCCCATTCTCTACCTCACCCCCCATTTCGGGGGCTGTGACCCCAGGAATGATGCCGAGGAGGGGGTGACCTCCTCAGGACACCCAGGGCCAGCCGGGCGTCGCTCTCCTCCGCCATGGCGGTGGGAAAGGTCATGTGCGGCCCAAAAAGCTTGTAGGGATTGATGGCAAGGACTCCCCTGTCCCCCAAAACGGGAGGAGAGGAATGAGGGGTGCCACGGGAATTGGAGGGGTCTGGGGGATGCTGGTCACCCGACACAAAGAGGCGGAGGGAACGGCCACGGGGGTGGCAGGAGGCGGCCGGAGCAGGGAGCGAGATGGGATGTGGTGTGGGAGGGGAGCAGGAGATTCGGAAGTTGGAGGGTTTGGGAAAGGGGGTGCTGCTGGCTGCCCCAAGAAGGCAGAGGGAGAGGCTGGGCTCCGCGGCTGTGGGGATGGGGTGGCAGGAGGCCGCTGGCCCCCAAAGGGAGGGATGGGGTGAGATGTGGCACGGGAAGGACAGTGGGTGGCAACAGCCAAGGATCTGCGGGCTGCAGGCTTGGCTCCCATCGTGAGGAGGATGAGGAGGAGGAGGAGGTAGAGGAGGAAGAGGAGGAGGAGGAGGAGGGTCTCCTCCCCACAGCAGAAGGAGCGTGCGGAGGCAGCCGTGATTCGGCTGGTGTGTCGGGAGATTCTCATCTCCGTGGAAGCAGGTGGCGCCGGCCGGACTAATCGCAGTAGAGTCAGTCTCCACACGCAGCCCTTTGTCTGGGCTCACTTCTGCTTTCCTGGTTTGTTTTTTTGTGTGTGTGTTCGTGGTGAAAACTGAGCTCCCTGCCCTGTTCCCGCTTCCCCTGCCGGTGCTCACACCCCCCCGCCTGTCTGGGGCCGCCCAGCATCCCGTCAGGTCCCGCTGCTGCCCGGCCCGGAGCCGCCGGTGCCAGCGGTCCCCAAACGCCGCTTCCCCCCGCAGTGCCCGGCCGGCCTCGCCCCGCACGTGGCCGCAGAGGGCTCTGCCCGCACAGGGATTCGCCCAGAGGGACGGGGCGCAGGAGGCTCGCGGCTCTGCATCCCGGGGCGCCCGGCCAGGGGCTGTGCCTGGAGCTGCACCCGGCGGGGCACGGAGCGGGGCACAAAGCGGGGCACGGAGCGCGGCACCGGGCAGGGCTCGGGTGGGACGCGGGGCGGGGAACAAAGCGGGGCACGAAGCGGGGAACAGGGAGGGACGCAGAGCGGGGCACGGAGCGGGGAACAGAGCGAGGTGCGCCGCGTGACCCGGACCGGGAGCGGGAGCGGGACCCGGACCCGGAGCGGGCCCGGGCCGGCCCCGGCACCGCCGGCTGTCACGGAGCCGCTGCCCGTCCGCTTCAGCCAATCAGGACGCGGATTCAGAAGGATGCGGCCACTTCAGCCAACCAGAACGCGGATTCAGACGGATGCGGCCATCACAGCCAATCAGAACGCGGATTCATGAGGCTGCTGTCTCAGCCAATCGGAAGGGGGAGGCCCGGGGCCGCAGCCGCCGCAGCCAATCAGGACGCGCGGTGTGCCGCCGCAGGTCCCGCCGTTCCTCCCGTTCCCCTCCCCGTTCCTCCCCGCCCCGCACGGCGCGCACTGACCCTGCTCTCCCTGCCCTCCATGTCCCCCGCCGTGCCCGCCGGTCCCGAGGAGCCGTGTTCGTGCCCTCCGGGTTAGGGCCCGTGGCTAGCGCCCGGTGCCCCGCGGGACTGCCCCGGCCTGTTCTCACAGTCGCCAGGGCAAGGCGTTCCTGCGTGCCCTGGCCGGTGTGTGCCCGCGCTGGGGGAGGCGGGACCGGGCAGCGACCGGTGAGCTCTGCCCCGCCGGTGCCCTTCGGGTAGGCAGAGTCGCTGGCCCTTTAAAAGAGGGCGTGGTCCAGCACATAGCCCCGCCCCTGCGCCGGTCGCGGCGGGGCTGGCGCGCCCCCTGGCGGCGCGCGCGAGGAGCAGCGGTCGCGGTGGTCGCGGTGGTCCCGGTGGTCGCGGCGCGGGCAGCGGCCGCCGCATCCCGGCTCCAGGCCTGCCCGTCCGCCCCGTCGGGCTGCGAGGAGCCCGCCCCGGCGGCAGGCGCCCCCGCCCAGGAGCGGCTTTGGTCGCTCCCGCGGCCCGGCGCTCCGCAGGGTCACCCCGGGCTCAGCCCACCGGAGCCCGGTGCGCTTCCGGGGCGGCCGAGGGGCTTCCTGCGGTGGGTGCGCGGCCGCGGTGCTGCTGCCAGTGCTGCTCCCGGCCCGGCCCGGCCCGGCCCGACGCGCCGCCGGGATGATCAACGCCATCCTCGTGTTCAACAACCACGGGAAGCCGCGGCTCGTCCGCTTCTACCAGCACCTGGTGCGCCACCGGGGCCGGCACCGCGCCGGGGCCCGCTGGGCTGCGGCGGGGGTGCCGAGCCCCGTGCGGGGCCGGGAGCAGCGCAGGGCTGGGGGCGCCGTGCGCTCGGCGGGCCGGGGGTGTCCCGGGAGCGGGGCGGTCGCTGCGGCACCTGCCGCTGCCCGGGTCCCGCCCTTCGGGATGCCCCCGGGGCACCGGGACCGGCGCGTGGGCCGGAGCCGCGGGTGCCACGGGCGCCCAGCCACCGTCTCCTCCTGCAGGCAGAAGAGGTGCAGCAGCAGATCATCCGTGACACCTTCCACCTGGTGCTCAAGCGCGATGACCACATCTGCAACTTCCTGGAGTGCGGCAGGTACCGGCCGGGAGGGGCCGTGCCGGGCTGTCCGCACCCCGAGTGCCGGGCTGTGCCCGAGCTGTGCCCGATCTGTGTCCGGGCTGTGCCCGAGCTGTGCCCGAGCTGTGCCCGAGCTGTGTCCGGGCTGTGCCCGAGCTGTGCCCGAGCTGTGCCCGATCTGTGTCCGGGCTGTGCCCGGGCTGTGCCCGGGCTGTGCCCGAGCTGTGCCCGATCTGTGCCCGAGCTGTGCCCGAGCTGTGCCCGGGCTGTGCCCGAGCTGTGTCCGAGCTGTGTCCGAGCTGTGTCCGGGCTGTGCCCGAGCTGTGCCCGAGCTGTGTCCGGGCTGTGCCCGGGCTGTGCCCGAGCTGTGTCCGAGCTGTGCCCGAGCTGTGCCCGGGCTGTGTCCGGGCTGTGTCCGGGCTGTGCCCGAGCTGTGCCCGAGCTGTGTCCGGGCTGTGCCCGGGCTGTGCCCGGGCTGTGTCCGAGCTGTGCCCGAGCTGTGCCCGGGCTGTGTCCGGGCTGTGTCCGGGCTGTGCCCGAGCTGTGCCCGAGCTGTGTCCGGGCTGTGCCCGGGCTGTGCCCGAGCTGTGCCCGAGCTGTGTCCGAGCTGTGCCTGGGCTGTGCCCGGGCTGTGTCCGAGCTGTGCCCGAGCTGTGCCCGGGCTGTGCCCGATCTGTGTCCGGGCTGTGCCCGGGCTGTGCCCGAGCTGTGCCCGGGCTGTGCCCGAGCTGGGCCCGAGCTGTGCCCGAGCTGTGTCTGGGCTGTGCCCGGGCTGTGTCCGGGCTGGGCCCGAGCTGTCCCCAGCCCCTCAGCCGTGCTCCTGTCCCCGCAGCCTGTTCGGCGGCTCCGACTACAAGCTGATCTACCGCCACTACGCCACGCTGTACTTCGTGTTCTGCGTGGACTCCTCCGAGAGCGAGCTGGGCATCCTGGACCTCATCCAGGTGCGTCCCCGCAGCACCCAGCTGCCCTGGCACCACCCAGGGCCGTGCCAGCCCTGTGCCAGCCCTGTGCCAGCCCTTCTGGAAGGCCTGAGAAGCCCTCGGGGCCCTGGTGGGGAGGGGGCTGCACGTACGCCCTGAGCTTCTACATGGCTCCTTCACCTGGGACCAGCAGGGAAGGCAATCTGAAGGAATGTCTTTAAAAACAGACACATAGAGTTATTCAGGGTGGAAAACACCCTTGGGAGCACCAAGTCCAACCATTAATGCTAGGATTCTGGAATCCCAGGTTGGAAGGGACCTCAGGGATTGTCTGGTCCAGCCTTTCTTGGCAAAGCATGGCCTAGACAATTCCCAGCACTTTGGCATGTGAATAATATCCAGTGTTGGGGAATCCCTCTCTTCCTCATGGAGATTATTCACCTGCTGTTTGTCTGGAAAAAATTTTTACTCTTAAGCCTTACTGGAGTCTCCCCAAGAGGAACTTGTACCCATCATTCAGTGTCTTTCCATGCGCCCCCATGCATGACAGGAGTTTCCAGCTTTGTAGCCACCCTTTGAACACCAGGATATGGGAAGAAGGTGCCCCTGAGCCTGCTTTTCTGCAGGCTGAGCCCCTTTCCCAGCTCCCTGAGGAATTCTGCAGCCCCTTCCCAGCTCTGTTCCCTGCCCTGGACACGCTCCAGCCCCTTAAGGTCTCTGCTATCAGTGGGGCCCAGAGCTGGAGGTGCCCCAGCAGTGCCAGCTCAGGGGACAGGCACTGCCCACGGTGGGGCTGACACAAGCCAGGTGCCAGTGGCCTCTTGCTCACCTGGGCACACCTGGGCTCATGTTCAGCCACACGCATGCCTAGGTCCTTCTCCAGCTACCCAGTCCCTCTGTCCCGTGCCTGGAGCGTTCCACGGGGTTGGTGTGACCGTCTGGCCTGGTCTCTGTCTGTCCCAGGTGTTTGTGGAGACGCTGGACAAGTGCTTTGAGAACGTCTGTGAGCTGGACCTCATCTTCCACATGGACAAGGTGGGTGCTGGCCTCGGGGCTGCTCCAGAGCTGCATTTCCTGGGCTGGGCTGGCCAGGAGAGTCTGGGGATCCTGTATGGGAAGCTTTCAGCCGTGTTCTTTGCAAGGCACTCGCATTGTGAGCTCCTCAGGAAAGAGCCGAGGGCTGGGCTGCCCCGGGGCCGGTGGCACTGTGGGTGTGTGCTGCGCAGCCAGCTCTGCTGCAGCTGGCAGCCTCTGGTGGCACTGTGGGTGTGTGCTGCGCAGCCAGCTCTGCTGCAGCTGGCAGCCTCTGGTGGCACTGTGGGTGTGTGCTGCGCAGCCAGCTCTGCTGCAGCTGGCAGCCTCTGCCCTGGGCCCGGGGCGTTCTGCCTCTGCTCCAGGCCGTGACACCTCGTGGGAGTTTACATTGTGCTACAGCTGCCGGGAAAGAAAAGGGCAGGAACAATGGGAGTGTTTGGAATTCAGAGTGCTGGGTAAACTTTGGTTTGAGCGCAGCCTGTAATGCTTCCTCTTGAGCTGGACGGAGATCTGGACAGGAAGCGTCCTCTTAGATCATGTCCTGGGTCACAAGGCTGAAGATGGCTGGGATAGGTAGCCAGGAATAGGCTTGGAGCAGGGAGAGGCTTGGCTGAGGGTGCAGGCTTGTGTTGCTGTTGATCAAGATTTTCTTGCTTTGCTGGAGACAAAAACATATCAACAAAAAAGAGCACTGGGGAAAGAAACAGTCAAAGGAAGTAAAATGCTCCCTTTCCATTGGTGATTCCAACTGGGGAACTGGCAGGGAGGGGGAGTGAGCAGGTCCCGGGTATCTCTATGTTACCAGCTGCTGAGGTCAGGCTTTGGTTTCACTGTTTGCCCTAAGTGTTTATCAGAGCTGGAAGGAGGGCCGAGCAGCTGTGGGAGAAGTGTTGGCAGCTGCCCAGGGGCCCTCTGCCCACAGCTGGGGCAGGATATGCCCGTGGGTGCTGACTGTGGGAGCGGCAGGGCCCCGCAGCTTTTCACTCAGCCTTACTGTCAGCTTTATGTGAGCTCTGCATGTCAAACACTGAGCCCCACGGGCAGCCTGCAGCCCTTGGGCAGGGCACACCGCACCCTGGCCTGCAGCAGCGGGCTCACCCTCCCTCCGACCCTCCCTGACAGAGGAACATTCTCAGGAGATGGGACTCGGGGGTTTCTGGTAGTGCAGACCCCAGCTCGGCCACCCAGGCTCTCCCAGCCCTTCCCATGCCGTGCTCCTGCTGCTTCCCAGCTTTGACTCAACTCTTGGCCATGATCGGTTGGTCTCTTTCCGTATTTGGCACATGTTTATGTGTCAGATGTGCTCATGTTCCCGTGCTTCCCGGAGCTGGGTGCAGAGGGACAGCGTTTGGGGCGCTGGGAATGTGCCGGTGTGTCCTGCTGGGCCCACGAGCGTTTCCCCAGCCAGGGCTGTGAATGTCTCCCTGGGCAGGGGTCCAGGTGCAGCTTTGGCTGCATTCTGTAATTGTTTTTTGTCTGAAGTTCCGCCCTGCACTACCTGCGGCACAGGGCCATGGCACCAGAGCTGTGCCAGGCCTGGGGTCCTACTCCTGCCGTGGGCTGGTGCAGGGGGACATTGCTCAGGCACCAGTGACACCAGTGCTTGTAGCTGCCGGTGCTGGGAGCCCCAGCCTCAGAGTGCAGGCATGCCCTGTCCAAGGGGCACTCAGGGTGGGCTGTGCTCAGCTCTCAGCCCTGCTTTCCACCTCGGAGCGGAGTGTGAGCTGCACTCAGCAGCTGCAGAGTCCCAGAGGGAACGCAGATTTCTCAGGAAGTGTTGTGCTTTGGCTTGGAAAACAAAACTTGCTCAAGATTTCTGCCCTGCTGGTTTGGAGCCAGCTTGGGCTGAAGCCAGATCTTGAAGGAACGTTTCCCGATGCTCCCATATCCTTTTAGGCTGGGGGAGCCACTTGCACTGGGACTGGGCTGTGGGATGGGGCTGCCAGAGCTGCCTGGGCCCACCCTGTGCCCTGCTGATGCCACGCACGTGGTGCTGCAGGCACTGTGGGAGTGGGACAGGGGCTGTGGGGAGCCTGGGCGGGGTCACCGCACAGAGCTGGGATTGCCCCTCCGCAGTTGCTGGGGTTGCACGTTCTCTCCTGTTCTTTATTCTCCCCAGCACTGTCCTGAAGTTCACAAGGTGTCACAAGTGCAGCCTGGCTCTGTGAAACCATAAAACAATCTCATAACCCAGCCGTACTCCTGTGTATCCTCTTTCACGGAAGTATCTGGGACCCATAAATCCATTATCTGCGCTGTGGGCTCATTGGGAACTGCTGACTGTGCAGGCAGCGCTGAGCGGAGCCAGGAGCGGGAGCTGAAGGGAGTTGTAGCCACCAGCCCAGCCTGGCTGCCACCTCAGGGCTGAGTGCAATTTCTGGGATTGCAACTCAGCAATGTTCCTTTCCCTGTTGTGGCTGTGTGATTGCACTGGCCTTGCCTGCCTGTTCATCCTTGAACTCGAGGGATGCCAGGAAAGGAGCAGACTCCCTTGGCAGCTGTGTGCTTTTTCTGTGCCCGTGTCACAGTCTCGACCTTCCTCAGAGACAGGGGAGAGGCCAGGCTCTGGCCTGGCTTTCTGAGGAGAAGGAGCTTCTGGGGAGAAGTGTCCTGCCCCTCGAGGGCCCTGCTGCCTGCTGGGTCATCCCTAGGACACATTCCTGCTGTAGCCTGGCCCGGGAGGGACCAGCCACGTGTCCGGGCTGTGCCAGTGGAACCAGCTGCGTCAGGCTGCTGCGGGGGCCCGGTGGGCGGGTGTCATCTCCGGTGGGGTGCAGGTGGAGAGTGGAGCTTTGGGGCTGCCCTTGGCAACCCTTTTGCTCTCCAGGCAGCTCAGAAGGGGGCAGGGGTAGATTTGTGTCCCTTGGGGAGATGCTGGCCCCTGACGAGCTCCCAGGAGCGGGCCCTGAGCCTTCTGTTCCCCGCGTCCCTCCCTGGCAGGTGCACCACATCCTGCAGGAGATGGTGATCGGCGGGATGGTGCTGGAGACCAACATGAACGAGATCGTGGCGCAGGTGGAGGCCCAGGGCAAGCTGGAGAAGGCAGAGGTGAGCGGTGACGCTGCGGCCGTGCCCCTGGGAGCTGATGGAGCCCGGGCTGTGCGGGGGTGGCCCGTGGGGACGGGGTGGGCGTGGGGGGTACCCAGGGCACTCCCAGGGTCCGCCTGCCTGAGCCCTCGGATGGGGCTGGGGACATCCTGCCCCGTGGTGCTGCTCACGAGTGCAGGGAGCTGCCGTGGAAGCGGCTCCTTTGTCAAGGATAACGACCCCAGGCCACTGAAGGTTTATCGTGAAGGGGCTGTGGAGGGGCTCTGGGGTGGGACCAGTGGTCACGGTCCCTCTGTCCCCAGGGAGGCCTCTCAGCTGCTCCTTCCCGCGCTGTGTCGGCCGTGAAGAACATCAACCTGCCCGAGATCCCCCGCAACATCAACATCGGGGACATCAACATCAAAGTGCCCAACCTGTCACAGTTCATGTGAGCAGCCCGTGCCGGGGGCTGCCTGCTGAGCAGAGCTGGGGTCCCCGGCTCCTGCCGGGGCTCTGCCCGTGTGGCACACAGGGCCCGATGGTGGCCGAGGGCAGGCAGCAGCGACAGGGCTCAGAGAACGGGGTGGGGGGTCCCTCCCTCTGCACCTGGGCCCAGTTCTGTTCCCTGGTCCCCCAACAAGGAGGCTGCTCTTCCTTCCCCTCCCTCCCTGTGCACACGCAGCCTCTCCTCGCTGTGGGGAAGAGTTTGCTCCTGCCTCTCCTGGGGTTCTTGGGATTCCCAGAGGCGAAAGTGTGCCTGTAGTGACGGCTCTGTCAGGAGCTGCAGGTTGTCCCCTCCACCCTCCCGGCCATGGCTGTCCCCTGCCCCGTCCTGCTCTCTGTGATGGGCCCCGGCTGGGTGGGGTCACTCATGGGAGCTGCTGTGTGCCCTGGGGACAGTGTGCGGGGGATGTGGCAGCAAGAGGGATAGGAGCTGAGTGCCTGGAGGGCTTGCAGGGTCAGGCCAGGCTGGGGCTGCTGGAGTGTGTCCCTGTGTCCCAATAAACTGCCCCTGAAGCCGTGTCCTTGTCTGCTGTGGGTGTGTGGGACCTGTGGGGCTGGGCTGCTCTGAGGCCGGGGAGGAGCAGGGTTTGTCCTGGGGGTCACGGTGACCCCGATGGGCTCTGTCAGCCACGTACCCCGTGCCCCTGGCTCCGCCGAGGCTCCATCTGGCCACCAGCCCCGGGGCTGGACAGGGGCCCTTCCTCTGCTCCCCAGCTGTGCTCCGGGTTCTGCCTCCACTTCCCCTGGCAGGGAAACCGTGACTCTGCCGGGAAGGAATTTCCCCTCCCTGCAGCTTAACCCTTCCCCAGCTGGCCACTAGCCACATAAGCACTCCTGGAGGTCAAGGAGCTGGGCAACCTGCTGCGTCCTCTTCCCTGCTGACTCTGCTCTTCCTCTGCTTCCTCCTATTCCTCCTCCTCCTCGTCCTCTCGTAGGTGCCGGCGAAGGGTGCAGGTGAGCCATCGTGCCGGGGCCATGTGCTGGGGCTGGGGCGCGGAGTCTGGCAGACTGGGACAGTCGGAGGGAACGCTCCGGCTCACCTCATGGCCAGGGAGTCGCCGAGCTGCTCTGTGCCAGGCCGGGGCGCGGGGCTGGGCTGCCGTGGGCAGTGCCACAGCACCCCCATCGCTGCGGGCAGTGTCCGGCCCCACGCCACAGCACCCCCAACGCTGAGGCTGTGTCCGGCCCCACGCCACAGCACCCCCATTGCTGAAGCTGTGTCCGGCCCCACGCCACAGCACCCCCATCGCTGCGGGCAGTGTCCGGCCCCACGCCACAGCACCCCCATTGCTGAGGCTGTGTCCGGCCCCACGCCACAGCACCCCCATTGCTGAGGCTGTGTCCGGCCCCACGCCACAGCACCCCCATTGCTGAAGCTGTGTCCAGCCCCACGCCACAGCACCCCCATTGCTGAGGCTGTGTCCGGCTCCACGCCACAACACCCCCATTGCTGAGGCTGTGTCCGGCCCCACGCCACAGCACCCCCATTGCTGAGGCTGTGTCCGGCCCCACGCCACAGCACCCCCATCGCTGCGGGCAGCGTCCGGCCCCACGCCACAGCACCCCCATTGCTGAGGCTGTGTCCGGCCCCACGCCACAGCACCCCCAGCGCTGCGGGCAGCGTCCGGCCCCACGTGCTGCCTGTGCAGCGCCCGGGGTGGCTCTGCGGCAGCTCGGCGCCGCTGCCCGGCCTGCCGCTGCGGGGCAGCCCCTCTGCCGGCCCGGCCGCTCTCTGCTCCCCGGCCCTGGCTGAGGCTGGCCTGGGCCGGGCCGAGCCCCCAGCCCGGGGAGCCCCCACGGCGCTGGCCGTGCCCCGCTGTGCCCGGAGGGGCCGCGCTGGCGGGGTCAGCAGGCGGGCCCACAGCAGCAGCGAGCGGGGCACGCGGCCTGCCAGGGGCTGTGGGGGACAGCGGCTGGCCGCTCCGAGCTGCCGCATGGTGCTGACGCCGGGCACGGCTCCGGGCCCCAGCCCACCGCCTGCCCCGGCTGTGCTGGGCTGTGGCACCCGCGGGTGCCGGGCTCGGCCGCTCCGGCTCAGCCCTGCCCGCGGAGCGCGTTCCCAGAGCCAGGCCCGGTCCCCGGCCGCCCTCAGAACTGCCTCCCGGCCCTGCTCCCCCTCCGCGCTGCCCCGGGCCGTGCCCCCGCCCCGCCGGCCGGCAGACACGAGGTTAAGGGGGCGAGAGCTGCGGGTTCCTGCCCTGGCGCTTCGGAGGAAGCTTTCCTCCCTTCGGAGCCAGAGCGCGGGGCCGGGGCGGGCAGCCGGGGCAGGCAGAGCTCGGACGGGCAGCAGCACGGACGGGCAGCAGCACGGGCAGGGCGACCCGCGGGGCGCAGGAAGCGGCAGCCGGGCGGGCGGGACCCGCTGGCCCCGGCGGAGCGCAGGAAGGTGAGCGGGGCTCGGGGTGCACAGCCCAAGCGGGGCTCCGCGGGGTGCCTTGGGCTGCGCCGAGCGGGGCAAGGGGCTGCGGGGGCTGTGGGCTGTGCGGCTGGCAGCGCGGTTCGCGTCCATGGGGGTTATGGGGCCCGTGTGCAGTGCGGGACTTGGGGGGTGCATGGCGGTGTGGGGGGCTCTGGGGGTGTCAGCCTGTGGGGTGTGTGAGGCCACAGCCCCAGGGACGCCGTGCCCACGGGGGTGACGCCCAGCATCTGTGCCGCTTGTGGGACAGAGATGTGTGTGCCGCTGGCTGGGCTCCAGAGAGGGGTGCACTGGGGTGGGGACAGAGTCCTGCAGGCTGGGGGAGTCGGGTGTGGGTGCTGTGTCTGCTGCTCCCCGGTGACTCCATCCAGACCCTCCCCGGGCCAGCCAGGGGGATGCCTGCGTGCTGTGCCCGGGGGGCTGTGGGGAGGGCCAGCAGGCCTGGGACGGCGGTGTGCAGAGTGCCTGGCACCCTCCCGGCCGCCTGTGCCCCTTGGGCCTCTGGGGGACTGTCCCCAAAGCCTTTGGCCAGAGCCAGGCGGCGGATGGCACTGAGAGCCAGCAGTGACCTCTGTTCTTGGGGCATGGCTGTGCCTAACAGGGAGGGCCAGGAACACCAGCAGCGTCCAGAATGATTTGTGCCAGGCACGGTGGCCCTGGCAGGTTCAGCTGGGTGCTGTCAGGGACAGGGCAAGGATTCCCTGAGGACACCACTCACTCATCCTGGTTTGCCCTTTGCCCCAGCTGTGGCTCCTGGCAACACCTGCCCATATCTCCCTATGGAGAGATCGATTAGATCCTGAGAACAGGACTTCCTATTTTTTCCCACCGTGTGACAGGTGTCACCTCCACCCTGGGTGGGGACCTCACCTGTGCCCACTGGGGCTGGGCTCACAAGGATGGAGTTTGACCCCGCTGCTTCCAGGTGCACGACCCTGGACTTTGAGAGGGCTGTGGGCAGAGGGAGCTCCGCCCGAGTGTCCCCCCCACATTCCCCCGCCGCTGCCAGGCCCCATGCGGCACCTGCTTTCCCTGGGTGGGGCTGCCAGGCCCCGTGCGGCACCTGCTTTCCCTGGGTGGGGCAGCCTGTGAGCTGTGCCCTGCGCGCCAGGGCAGCCCGGACCCTCTGGCAGCGGCTCAGACCCTGTCACTCGAGGGTGAATGGGGTGACGCTGAGTTTGCGTCTGGGCTCGGCTGACGGGGACGCACGCTGGGCCCCGCAGCGTGGTGGGGATGTGGCTGCTGGCTGTGACCCCCTGCTCTGTCCCTCCTTCTGCAGGGCCTGGCCAGCGCTGGGGAAGGACCCCAGGGGTCCAGGCCCACAGCTCCTGCACGGTCCCCGATGGTGCCACCCCCCATTGCCAGCTCTGCCCCTGCAGCAGCGGCGCCGGGCCGTGGTGCTCCTGCCAGGCTGGGGGGCGGGCGGGTGGAAAGCTCATCCCAGGGTCTGTCACCGCCCTGAACCCCATGGCCATTTAATCCTTCACCCATTAACTTGGACTAATAAACCTCGTGCGAGCGAGAGGCTAAAAGCCGTGCTTGCACCAGCGCCGTCTCTGCCAGTGCCACTCCTGCTGCCCGCCATGGCAGGTGGCTTCTTCATCAGCAAGACCGTGGGCATCGTGGCCATCGTGCTGGGCCTGGGGGCTGTGGCCACCATCATTGCACTCTCGGTGGTGTACGCCCAGGAAAAGAACAAGGGGATATCAGATGTGGGCACCAGCACCACGGCCAGCCCTGGCACCAACACCAGCACCAGCACCACCACCAGCACCACCACCCCTGCCCCCAGCAACCCCTGGAACCAGTGGAGGTTGCCGGCCACGCTGAAGCCAGAGTTCTATGAGGTGTCCCTGCAGCCCTTCCTGAAGCCTGATGCCAACAACATGTACATCTTCAAGGGCAACAGCAGTGTGGTCTTCCTGTGTGAGGAAGCCACCGACCTCATCCTCATCCACAGCAAGAACCTGAACTACACCATGCAGAACTCCTTCCATGCCACGCTGCAGGCAGAGGATGGTGGCACACTCCCTGCCATCTCCCGCACCTGGCTGGAGACTCCCACCCAGTACCTGGTGCTGCAGCTGGGCGCTCCCCTGCAGCAGGGCAAGCGGTACCGGCTGTCCAGCAGCTTCACCGGGGAGCTGGCCGATGACCTGGCTGGCTTCTATCGCAGCGAATACACGGATGACTCGGGCAACAAGTAGGTGGAGGGCAGGGGACAGGGCGGGAGCCACAGGGCTGGCCCAGTGTGGTGGTGGGAAGGGGCTGGCACGGGGCAGTGCAGGGCATGGGCTGGCGTTGGGGCTCCTCTTGCACCAGGACCATGGGATGAGTGTGTGGAGCCTCTGTGCCGCCCCTGCATCCTCATGCCGCCCCAGTTGGGACGGGAGAAGGGGGACTGGGGGGTGCGGCCTCCCCAGGGACCCCCGGGACTGATGGGGCTGGCTCACAGGCAGGTGGTGGCCACCACACAGATGCAGGCGGCTGACGCACGCAAGGCTTTCCCCTGCTTCGACGAGCCGGCCATGAAAGCCAACTTCACAGTGACACTGATCCACCCCTCTGACTATAAGGCCATTTCCAACATGCCTGCCGAAAGTGAGTGGGGCGGGGGGACCCCACTGGGGGGCTGGGGGCCTGGCAGGGCTGTGGGGTGATTCTCTGATCTCTACAGACACCACGCACCAGGAGATTGGTGGAGAAATCTGGAATGTCACCAAGTTTTACACCACTCCCCGGATGTCCACATACCTCCTGGCCTTCATTGTCAGCCAGTTTGAACCCGTGGAGAACAACACGGGGAAGACACTGGTAGGATGGGGTGGGGTGCACCCCCTGCCCACCTGGGTGGCTGAGCCTGGGCACTGATGAGTCCTGCATCCCTCCTCTCCAGATTCGCATCTGGGGCCGCCCCGAAGCCATCAAAGAGGGCCAGGGCGCCTACGCTCTCAGGGTCACTGGTCCCATCCTCAACTTCTTTGA